GGGGAGATGGTTTAATCGACCTCCTCCTTTGACAGCTGAGCAAATGGAGCCGTGGGCGGAAGTTCTCTCTGGGTGCGCGTCACCCTGTCCCATCCTCCTGAGATGTGGGTGTGCATCAGTCATTCAGAACTTCTGGGTCTTTCCAGTGAAGCCTCAGGGGGTAAAACGTGCTCTCAGAGGGGCAGCTGCCACCCAGGCTATGGGGGATGTTCTCGAAATGTGCATCCTCCCAGAGTGGACGCACAGTACCTGCTCTGGGATGAACAGAGCGATGACAGTATGTCTGCTGAACAACAGATTGAAGTAGAAAGCTTCCTCCTGTGGCATGACTCACTCTTCAGCGTGTGATCTGTGGGGAGCATCCGTCTCCCATCCCAGGCTTCCTGTTTCCGCCCTTAAAGTTGGAACTTCTTTCCCTTCAGAAGTAAGAGAGAGACGCCGGGCTGTGGTGTGCACCTGTTGCCCCAGAGACTCGGGAGGATGAGGCGACAGGGTCTCTTGAGCCCAGGGGTTCAGACCAGCTGGGGCAACATAATGAGGCCCTGTCTTTAAAAAATCTCTTTTATAAAAAGAAGAAGTAAGAGAGAGGAAATCTCACCCATTTTCCAACTCTCACTCCTCACCAAAGGAGGAAGCTGGGTGTCTCTGAGTAGTCAAACTGGGAGGGAGGAATGGCCATGCTGAGCCCCTGTCTAGGAAGAGCTCTGCCTTCCCGGCAACCCCATGTCCTGGAGGGGTGGCCTGCGGCTGTCTAGCTCCAACTAGGGGTACACGTGCGTCTGGGGACAGATGAGTAACTAGATTCAGGCTCATCGTTCCGTAGTCTAAACCACGTTCTCAGTCTAGCTTATCAGTAAGCTAATATTTTCATGTGGCTTGTTTCTCTTTCTTGATGGATGCAGAACTGGCAGGAAGAAGGGGTTTATTCATTGGCTATCCTTCAGCCACAGGGTTCTCCTTCGAAGACTGCAGCTTCAAAGCTCAGGAATTGAGAGATGGGTCCAACTACTACCTGACACGTGCTCGATGGTTTTCTACGTGTGGAAGCTGCTAGAACCATGAGGCCCCCATTCTCTCTGGCTTCAAGGAGCAGGGATCAGGTGGGACTGGATCTCTCAAGTATATCCAGTTAGGTGATGCCCTTTTTACATGGACCGATGGGATTAGGAGCTAGTGACAGCCTGGAACATCTACAGGGCTGTTAATGAGAGGGGCAGTGACACGAGCAAAAACAAACTGTAAATAAGAATCGTGAAACCAACTAGACACACACACACACACACACGTGTGTGTGGTGGGGGACAGAAGAAAGAGAGAGAGAAATTAGAAAAGAAGAAAAAATATAATCAAGCCACAGCTCTTGAATTGTTAGGAATGTTCCTGAAATATTCTTTGGGGGTGAATCAAAAAAAAAACAAACTATAGACTAATGCGTTTAATTTTATTTGGATAAAAACAAACCAAAAAAAGAATCTATCTTTATGTAAATGTGCATTTGCATCTGTTTGCATGAACCAGGAAAAGTGTGGGAAGTATACAGCAGGTGTGAGCACTGGTAGCTCGAGGGAATGGAGTTGGAGAGGGTTTGCTTTTACTTTATATGTCTTTGCATCATTTCAATTGTCACAATAAGCATGTGCTGGTATTGTATCAAAAAACATCGATAAAAGAGACTAGATGAAAATAAAAACAAAACGTTAGTTTGAGATTCGTATGTTTATCTGCATTTGGGGGAAAAGAGAGAGAAAAGCAAAGTATAGAATAGCATCTATCTTATAATTTATTTATGTCAACAAAAAAATCATTGACATGTATGATAGTATGTGCAGCCAAATATTTATATCCTTCTGTAATATTTAAAATATTTGCCACAAGTGGGTAATTCTTCCATTTGTCAAAAAATTATATTTATTAATAATTTAGAATACAAGAAAAAATGCTTATGATGTCTTCAACAAAAAAGCAATATATCAAACTGCTTATATGTCAAGATGTCTACAGTGAGGGAAACATAGGGGGAAATGCAGACAAAAGACTAGATGGGAAAATGCCAAGATGTCAATAATGATGGTGAAATTCCAGGTGGCATTTCTGAAAATTAAAAACGTGTCCCATGGGCATGACCTTACCTCTGTGGCATCAGGATTGGTCAAGGTGTTGCCTGGCTGTGGGTGGGAGCAGGTGTAGGACCACAGCACCTATTTGGTATCCTAAGGTCACGGATGACACCCTGAGCCCTAGACCAGAGCACATGCCATTGGACTGAATAGAAGGTAGGAAAATTCCATGTTAAATGGCTTCCTTTTCTTAGAGTGATTTCAGAAATACAGACTCTGGAGTCAGGCTGCCTGGATTCAAATTCTAGTTCTGCGATCTACATCAGGCACAAGTTTCTTAACCTCTTAACCATGTTTCAGTGGTTTCCTTCTGTGAAATGGGAATAATAATAATTTATGCTTCGTAGGATTATTGTGAGGACTCAATGAGTTAAGAGATGTAAAAATCTCAGAATAATGTTCTTCCATAGCTGCATAAGTGTTTGCTGTTATTATTAATATTGTTATCTTCACATTTTAAACATGATGGCAATAATACTTGATTTGTCATCATTGCTTCAATAATTACTATAGTTTATTAAACATGTATCATACAGCAGGCACTGTTAGGCAATTTGCTTACTTTAGACCTAATTCTCCTTTAGAACTACCAGGTAAGTATTATGTACCCTGTAATAGGGAAGTTGAAGTTCAAGGAGATTGTTTTGCTGGGGTCCACACCTAGTAGTTGGCAGAACTAGGGTTCAGGTCTACATCTGCCTGCTGCTGAAGTCCAAGCTATGTCTACCGTCCATTGCTCTCTTGCATTGCCCAATATGCATATTCATGCATATTTACACACATGTTCACACACAGAAATTCTCTTGGTGTTTACTGTCTATGAACTGACCAAAAAAGAAGCCAGTTTGGGTGTCTGTGTTAGTTCATTTTTGCATTGCTATGAAGGAGTCCCTGAGGCTGGGTAATTGGCAAAGAAAAAAGGTCTATGTGGCTCATAGTTCTGCAGACTATACAGGAAGCATCGCACCAGCATCTGCTTCTGGCGAGGGCTTCTAGGAGCTTCCAATCAAGGTGGCAGGTGAAGGGGGAGCCCGCATGTCACATGGTGAGAGAGGGAGCAAGAGAGGGAGGAGGTGGTGCCAGGCTCCTTCAAACAACTGACTCTCCTGTGAACGAATAAAGGGAGAACTCACTCCCTATTGCTGGGAGGTCACCAAGCCATCCATGAGGAATCCGCCCCCATGAGCCAAACACTGCCCACCAGGCCCCACCTCCAACATTGGGGATCAGATTTCAACATGGGGTGCGGAGGGGCCAAACATCCAACCCACACCAGCATCCGTGTTAACAGTTTCTTTGGATGAGCAGGGTTAGAGCCCAGTCCCCGCCTGCCAGCTGTGCACTTGAGCCACCAGCCAGGCTGTCCTTGTCTTGCACACGTGACTCACAGTCACTTGGCTCAGACGTGCAGGGAAGCCTGGCTTTACCCCATTCTGAAAACTTGCAGGTAAACTAAATGTATATAACTGACTTGCTCTTTAAAATGTAATTTAAGTTCTTATTGGTTAAAAGAAAAAAGTCCGGGACACACAGGCAACAAAAGAAAAAAATAGATAAGTTGGACTTCATCAAAATTAAGAATTTTGTGCCTCAAAGGATACTACCAAGGAAGTAAAAAGACAACCTACTGTATTGGAGAAAATATTGTAAATTGTATGTCTGATGAAGCATAAATATCCAGAATAGATAAAGAACTACTAAAACTCAACAACAACAACAAAACTCAATTCAAAAATGGGCAAAGGGCATTTCTCCAAAGAAGTTGTACAAATTGCCAACAAGTACATGATAAAATACTCAACATCATTGGTCGTTAGGGAAATGCAAATCAAAATTACAATGAGTTGCCACCTCATACCTTCCAAAATGGCTATCAACAAACATGACTCAGCAATTCCACTCCTAGGTATAAATAAATACAAAAGAATTGGAAGCAGAGCCTTGAGCAGATTATTTGTATACCAATGTGTAACGGCATCCATTAAAATAGCTAAAAGGTAGAAACAACCCAAGTGTCCATCAACAGATGAATGGATAGACAAAAGGTAGTATATACATGTAACAGAGTATTACTCAACCATAAAAAGGAACGGAATTTTGACATATGTTACAAAATGGACGAGCCTTGAAAACATTATTAATAGCAACATAAGTCAGACATAGAAGGACAAATATTGTATGATTCCACTTATTTAAAGTACCTACACAAATTTATGGGAACAGAAAGTGGGATAGAATTACCCAAAAGCTGCAAAGAGGAGGGAAAGGGGAAGTTATTATTTAATGAGTGGATTTTTTTTATTGAAGATGATTAAAAAACTTGGAGTATAAATAGTAGTGACCATTATATAACATTGTGAATGTATTTAAATTGTACTAATTGTGCATTCATGAATTGTGAAAATAATAACTATTAACATTATGTTACATATATTTAACCTCAATAAAAAAGAAGGAAATCCAGTAATACATTTTTTCTAAAAATCTTTAAAATTTTTTATTAAAAGAAATAAATGCTCATCCTTAAAAATTAAAGCAATATAAAAATATATCATGTAACACATACATACACACACACACACAATCCTACTACCCAGAAGTAACCATTGTCTACAGTTTAGATTTTTAGATTTTATGCCTCTACAAGCATATTTTCTTTTCACTTGACAATGAACTATAGATATCTCTCAACAGCAGCACTTAATAATGCTGCCTTAATCTTTTTCATGACCGCATAGTATTCCATTGGTGGATGTGCCATATTTTACACAGCCAGTCCTATTGATGAATATCTGCATAACACCAAACAACACTCTCTGCTCCAGATGTCTCATCTGATAGTATGTGCCACTTTTATTTATCAGGAGTTGTTCATTTGTGCAGGCTTGGAAATCATCACCACCTCCGTGGTCCCTGCTTCCTACTCCATGCGTAGCGTTGAAGACAGAGGTTCAAGTTGTGTCTTGGAAAATGCATCCATCTGTTCTGAGAAAGGGCCATGGGCTTCAAAACAGATTATACATCAAGCCAGGAACACAGTGTGAGCTTGCAAACTTCAGAAAGCCTTTCCCACCTTGGTGCTCCCACTGGAGCTTGCATTTGAGAAGCGAGGGTCCCTACGGAGAATCGTACCTACTGGCATTGGGTGGAGACAAAGACGTTCTCAACAGGCAACCTCTCACACCAAAGTTTTGGAATTTTCTCTAGCAGACTAGAGAAGCTTTCGCAACCTTGCAATTTCCGAAGAAGATAACTAGCCAGGCCTGGAGCACTCGTCGTGTTTCAGGACGTGGTCTGTGTGCTGTTTGGAGCCATCTCATCACATGTTGCTTCATTCATGCTGTGAATGCTTCGTTCATATTGTTGCTTGTACTAATAAATGAATATATGTGAACAGTATGTATGTAGAGATATGTTTTTCCTATGTATATCTGCAGGTACTATATACAGTATTTATTTATTTGGAATCCCCAAACCCTCATCTATCAAGCTTTGCCCAGGTAAAGCCCTCATGACTGTGTCTTCCCCAGAGTGTCCCCTGGCCATTTCCAGATCCCATGCATACCCTACTCTTTGGGATTCTTAAACTTTCTAAATAATCTTCAATTATAGACTAACTTGTGCTGTTATAGTGTTTCACATGTCTTTATCCCTCTCATCTTGATGAACTTTTTGATGACAAATGGTATAAAGGCTTAAACTTCCTTTAAATCCACTCTCTTCCTCCCCCACCCAAAAAAGCTGCACATACTATGAAACCCAAAATAGAACCATAGATCGTAGAATGTTAGTGCTAAAAGGGACTTGAATCTATGAAGGGGGGGGACTCCTTTCATAGATGAGGAACCTGCTCCGTCATCAGCTACTAGGATCACTATTTATCTAAATTATGGACACTGCCAATAAGCACACACACATCCTAATACACCCACCAACCCACGTCTACTCTGAAATCGAATGGCACTGTCTACCATGACACAATTAGACACATTCAGAACGTTGAAATGATCACTTATCAGCCAAAGTGAAAGACTAAATAGGAGCCATGACTTGTGAGTGCTGTTCTATTGTAGTGTCTTGCCTGACACACAAAGGAAGAGCAACAAGTTTAACTAACCCTAACGTCTGCCAGTAAACCATGGAAACTAGTTTCCTGGTTCTAACTGCAAAGCATTGTGTTAACATGTTAATCCCTATTAGTCACATTTATGGGAAAACTCTATGCACAGTTTTATACCTTTTCTACTAATCTATCTCCTTCATAAAACATGAATAGAGCTAAACATTCAGCCCAGGGTAAGGTTTCACCATTGTATCAGAAAAAAAAACATAAAAACAACAGTGCTGTCTAGGGACAGAACAGGTGCACAGTAACACCAGAAAATGGCCCAAATCTTTAGTTTCCTCCTCCACTCATGGAACTGGGAAAGTAGACCCCATGGCTTACGATGACTTTGGGGTAAGTCAAACCTTGTATTTCCTCCCTTGCATTTTAGACAACACACACAATAAGAAGGGATTGGACTTGGCTGGTCACCCGCAAATTTCTTGAGTCCTGCAGGCTGATGGATAGTCAGAAATGCCCTCAGCAAGGGAGAGGGGACTTTGCAACTCTGAGTTTGGTGTTTGGGCAATTGCTTCAGAATTCTGCTGTGATTAAGCTCTTTAAAAATCTTCTTTTTATCTACATACATTAGACTATATGCTGATCATCGATCGTGTGTCACTTATCTCTGCACCTCGGTACTAGCAAAAAACTTGGCATGTTAGTAAGTGCCCAAAAGATATTTATTGAGAACTGACTTGAAAGTGAGCAGAGCCGACAGCAGGCAGGATAACAACAGTAACCATCCCTGTCAAAACAACACCTTCCTACTCTCCCCCGACAATCATCACCCCTTTTCCCTTTTATCACATCTCCTGTAGATGAACAGGTTGGTCCTGCCTACAGAACAGCCCCTAGTTGACACTCTTCCTGTTTGAAAAACTGACATTTGTTTACAGATGATTCCCAGATTACATTATGTTCTCCACTTTCCCAAAATACCATGCGTCAAACGCCCTGAATACAGATAGTAAAACAAGCACTGATGTTCCACCTAAAGGTCTTCCACAAGCTGCTGGAAGAATATTAATTCCATGTTCTATTTGTTTTCATAGTCTAGGGGGAAGCCCAGCACCAGAGACGAGCCTGTCTTTAATCTCATTGCCATTTCCTGTGGGAGTGAGGGGGAGGCTAGCTCTCCCTCCATAATTTTCTCATCCACCCATATCCATTCAATTCAAGCTACTGTGAGCCAGCAAAAAGTACCCAGGAATCCAAACCATGATGAGGAAGTCTTTATCCCAATGAGGAGTGGCATTAGTACAACATCAATACAACAAAATCTTAAAACAGTTCTGAACTGACCTAACATAATTTTTCTTTCATAACAGTTTATTATAATGGCTATCAGAATATTTTGCCTCTCTATGTCAATTTCTGTTTTTCAGACTAAGTTTACCTATGGCCCAAATCTCATTTATTAAATTTGTACAATTTCAAGAACTCCATCATACACTAGGGAAAGATAATAGTATCATCAATTATTAAGGATCTTTTTATTTATAGTCTGCTGACTTAAAGACCACTGTGTTAATGCCTAGGTCTTTCTATTATATAAACAGTCTAGGTATTAATAGCTTTATGTTCCAGTGAATGTCCAAAAATATGGAATAGCAGCTGTATTTATAATTTATTTTTTTAGCATTTCCTGAAGTTGATCTTACTATAAATTAAGATTTTTAAAAGGAAAATATGTTTAAGAAACAAATATCTATCACCCAACTTAGAGTCTGCTAATATTGGACTTTGAGAAAAATTGTTCATTTTTTTCTAGCAAATTTTGAAACCATTTCTTTTCTTTTCATTTTGTTAGAGACAGGGTCTCACTGTGTCACCCAAGCTGGAGGGCAGTGGCATGATCATGGGTCACTGTAGCCTCAAGTGATCCTCCCACCTCGGCCTCGCAGTGTGTGGGGATTACAGGCTGAGCCACCATGACTAGCCAGAAACCATTTCTTAAACCAATTTTTAGACAAGAGGAAAGATTTTCTGATTATACTTTGGGAGGCAGTAATCTTAGACAGGATAAGCCTTATAAGTACTTTATTGATCTAGCTTTTAAAACACACTCGGCATGAATCTTTCCCACTATTATAGTTCTTTTAAAGAACTTAATAATAGGTTTAATGCATTAAGAAACAATAAAGATTATACAAACTAGTCAATCAAAAAGTACAAATGGGCCATGCCAAATGGCAATGGTTGGCTGAGATTTTCGATGTACATAATCAATCTTACCAGAGATAAACATGGTTCCAAACAGCTACGTGTGGGGTGAACCTGAGCCCTCTTTGGTGACTCCAGACCACACAACATTCTCACTGGAGGTATCTCACATTACATGTTGCTTAGCACCATGGTGCCTTGTGGGTGGTGAAATCCGAACCATCACCACTGGGGAAAAAAAAACCTACCACATTTCAGAATACCCAGGGTCAGCTTTCACTGCACTTCCAATTATCCCTTCCTTACCTATGTCTGCCCAAGGGCAGGGAGAGGGTATGAAAAGTGAGCCACATGCCTTGGGAACAAAATTTGAAGATACCAAAAAATTCAGTTACCAAGACAAATAACATTTCAATGCACTATTTGAAAAAAATAAAACTTAATGCAAAAAATCCACAATGAATGAAATAACAACATTTTAAATTGTAAACTAAAAATAAAATTCTAACTTGGCTTAGGGGACCCCAGGAAAACATGTGGCCCTCCAGATCCCCGGGTGCGGCCCCTCAACTGAATTCAAACTTCACAGAACAAATCCTTCAGGAGCTCAGTACTAGTGAATGGACTTTTATAAATTTTATGTAACATTGCTACCGAAAGTCCCTCACTTGTCCCCGAGGTCACGTCAGAAGACCGAGAACGAGTGGTTCGAGGAGAAAGAAAGGGAGGTTTATTAATTTACTGGCATATGAGGAGGATAGAAATTTCTTGTCTTAAAATGCCATGGTCCTATCTGTAAGCAGAAATATAAACCTTTATAGGGAGGGTTTTCAGCTTCAGGCTATTGCTATTTAACTATAGTTGATGGCTCTGATCCATTCCATCTCCCAGGAAGACAATCTCCTGACCTCTGGCTGGACAATTCTGTTGAGCCATCTCCCGTAGTCTAAAGAACAAAGGACACTCCACTGCCCCTCTGATTATTGGCCTCAGGGAGGAGGGATGAAGGTTTTCAATCCCAAAAGGGGTGGGGGGGGAGTTTTAGACAACTTGTAAAATATTTTACCCTTTTCCAGGCCATTCCCTCTATGACATTACTAATGTGAACATTACTAACATCCTAGATTTACAGATGAGGACACAGCCTCTGAGCGATTCACTGACCTGCTCAGGGTCACACTGTAGGTCAACATATGAATGAATCAGTATGGAAATGCTAGTTTTTTAAACTGGAGCCCTCCGCCTCCCCTTCATAACACACAGAAACCCCTGCTCTCTTGATGTTTCCCCTTCTTCATCACCCTGAACAAACATTTTGACCAGACTCTATCTGTAGTGTCACATAACGGAGTCAACCGTGGACAAGAATATTTTGCCTTCTTTCTTATAAGCCCCATTCTACACTGAATATCAACCCAGAAAAGTCAGAGATTTGCTCCTTGCATGTAAGAAATGTATCTGTGCAGGTCTAAAACATGAGCAAGGAGAGGAGAAGGTTACTAACTCAACCACACCCGTTCCATGCACAGCCCTGCTTGGGTTTGGTTTTATGTAGCACAGAGAACATGTCCAACTGACAATGCTTAAAAAGAGAGCTTTCACTATGTCATGGATCATTTCTGGGCTCCCCTACACAGACATAGAGAAAATAACTTTTTAAGTCAAATGAGTTACTAAAAATAAAGTCGTATCTGCATTCCTGGTATGTCTAAATTTGCATCTACCTAGCTCATGTTATTTACCTCTAAAAAATTTTTTTGATTTCTCTGAAAATGAAAACTCTCTGTCTAGGATCGTTGAAAGGCTTAGAAGTCATCCTGATGGAATTTTTTCTGATGTTTCAAGATTTTAATCTGGTTGTGATTACCCGTGATTTTCGTAATCTTTGTCAGTTACTTCCTACATATCTGAGACCTCATGCGGAGTGTATTATTGTTCATATCATAAAAAGCAGATATGAATAAGGACTGTTATCAGTGCCTATCCCAGATGCTAAGAATTTATGACAAATTCTAAGCATTAGGGGGAGAAAAGTAGCATTTTCTTCAAGTGTTT